CTCGTCATGTCTTCTTCAAGTTGTCGGACCTACGCTAGTCACAGTCGATCTGAACTATTCTTAATTCAGTTCTTAAATTCAAGAATTTATCGATCTTCAATCCTTTGGTGAAAATGTCAGCCAACTGTGCTTCACTTGAGCAATGCCTAACTTCAAGTTCACCTCGATTTACCTTTTCTCTCAAGAAGTGAAACCTAGCTTCGATATGTTTACTTCTTCCATGCAGAAATGGATTCTTCGCCATATTTATGACTAACTTGTTGTAGATTTGCAACACTAGAGGTTTCTTCAATTTGACCTCCATTTCTTCAAGTATAGATCTGATCCAAAATCTCAACATGCAACATAGGATCCTGCTATATATTCAGCTTCACACGATGACAGTGCCACCATAGGTTGCTTCTTAGAACACCATGAAATTGAGGCACCATATACTTGAAAGAAATATCCAATTGTGCTTCTTCGATCTTCCTTATCTCCATACCAATCAGCATGTGAAAATCAATTAACTATTGCTTCTTTGTCTTCATAATCTCGTTTAAATAGTATTCCATAGTTTATCGAACCCTTCAAATATCTTAGGATTCTTTTTGCAGTCTTCATATGTGACAATCTTGGTTCACTCATATATCTACTTACTAATCTGACAACGAAACCTAAATAAGGTCGACTGTTGCATACATATCTCAGAGATTCCACGATTTGCTTGAACAAAGTTACATCAACTATGTCTTCCTCTCCATTCTTCTCCAATATCACATTTGGTTCGACAGGTGAGGATGCAGGATTCAAATCATCCATTTTGAATTTCTTGAGTATCTCTTTGACATACTTTCTTTGATGTAGCATGATACCTTGCTTCGACATTTGAAATTTCATGCCTGAGAAATAAGACAATTTTCCCAGATCCAGCATTTTAGATTCCTTCATCATCAACTCTTTGAATTTTGATAAGTTCTCTACACTGTTTCCAATTACTAGAAAGTCATCGACATCTAAGAAAATCATTATTATATCTTGTGCTACAACCTGAACATATACACCATACTCAGATTTGCATTTGAAAAATCCCAATTCGACTAAGTATGAGTCGATCTTCTTGTTCCATTCCCTAGGTGTTTGCTTGAGGCCCTAGAGAATTTTGTGCAACTTATATACTTTACTCGCTTCCTTCTGAATCACAAACCTCTGGAGGTTGTGTGACATAGACCTCTTCATCTAAAGGAGCATTCAGAAATGTTGATTTCACATCTAAATGAAATGTCAACCAGCCTTGATTGCATGTTAATGCTACTACTAGTCGAATAGTATCCAATCTTGCTACAGGAGCAAATACTTCAGAGTAGCCGAGTCCTTCTTGTTGAAGAAACCTGTGAGCTACTAATCTTGCTTTATCTCTTGTTATCGAACCATCATCATTGTGTTTCAACTTGAACAGCCACATCACTTCGATAACTTTTGTATATGATGGCAATTCGACTAACTCCCGTGTATTGTTTCTTTCGATTGCATGTAACTCTTCGATCATAGATAACTTCCACTATTGAATCTTCAAAGCTTATTTATGGTTGATTGGTTCAGCACCTGCAAGTAAAGAAAAATGAACTAATCCTCTTAAGGACTAAGTTGCTGACTTCGAATTCGTGTCGTATGACTCTGGGGTCATATCGCAAGGTGATATTTTGTTTGAGAGAGGCTTCTCATAGGGCCGCTCTGGTGTGGATCTCCTCGACAAGGTCTAGCTCCTCTCATTTTGACGGGGATGATAACCTCGATTCTGTAGGTTAGTCGAAAAGGAGACTCCCCGGTTGACGAATGGGATGTTGTTCGATAGCCCCAGAGCATGATGTCTAGCTCCTCGACTCATCTTTTCTTAGTCTCCTCTAGTCTTTGTTTGAGACCTCTTAAGATTACTCTGTTTGCAGCTTTGGCCTGTCCGTTCATTTGCGGATGCTCGACGGAGGAAAAGTGTTGGACGGTGCCTAGGTTAGCTATGAATTCTTGGAATTTTTAGTCTGTGAATTGTGTTTTGTTGTCGCTGACAATGGCTTGGGGCACGCTGAATCTTGAAAGGATGTTTCTTTTGAAAAAACAGAGGACGTTTTGAGTTGTGATTCAGGCCAGTGCTTCTGCCTCTATCCATTTCGTGAAGTAGTCGACAGCCACTATGAGATATTTGTCTTGGTTGGTTCCTACCACAAAAGGCAATTGTTGCACTGAAAGGTAAAATGCATGTTAATCTTCTGATTACTAGTGTTTTGTTGGCCAACCGAATTTTATACCATACTCATCCCATCCACTCTTCACAACTACACAGTCATCTCCAGAAACTATGTAACAGTCTTCAATTTTCGTATTTATGCAAGAGTCTAAACATCAACTCAAAGAAAAAGAGAAAAAAGTTTATCAATCCAATCAAATCCAGTACTTTTTTGAATGTTTTGTATAAAATGGTTTCTTATGCTGACCTGGATTGATACCATCAGTGTTGGTAGATGTGACAGGAGCAATAATAGTGATGCCTTGCACAATAATATTGTTGTATAGTATTGAAAACTTTGTTATTAAATAGTCTTTGAAAGTAAAAGAGATGAAATATGAATTTAAGAACATTTTGTGGTTATTAAACTGTTGTAAACAGGATGAATGTTCCATGATGGAGAATTGAGAAGAGTTAGATTTGAGATTTGGATGCCATCCGAGAACATTAGTTCGATGAGGTAGGGACGTGTGTACTTCAACTTTTTTCGATGAAATTGTTTCCACCAAAATGCACCTTGACCATCTATGGTGCCATTTTCACCTATTAACAAAGTGTCACAGTCTATGAAACACATACACTAGACACGACAGAGACACTAACACCTCAACAATGATAATTATTTGTTTTATATATTTTTCATCATATATGTGACAATAACATGTGAGGTTAGTTTCGAATATGAGGCTTGTGAATCTTGTTGTCGATGCATCTCTTCCTATGCCCATGTATTGTTTCTTTCGATTGTCTGTAACTCTTCGACCATAGCTAACTTCTATTATTTAATCTTCAAACCTTCTTTATGGTTGATTGGTTCAGCACCTGCAAGTAAAGCAAAATGAACTAATTCTATATCTGGTGTGACTCCATCATCACCTACTACCTCATAATCATGAAGTCTTGTTCGATGAACTTTATTTCTTTAAGGTCTTTAGCTCGTTTCAGCCACAACCTCTTTGACTTCGACTGTTTCTGGAATGTCAGCAGCTGCTTCTTCTTCGACTTCGACTGGATTCTCAATAATTTGTTCGACCTCCACTTCATCAGTTTCTTCATCGAAATCAAAGCTCATCAATGACTTGTTAATGGAATTGCTAGAATTCCAATTCTAGGTGGAATTTTCATCAATCACAATATCTCGACTCAACACAATCTTCTCATTAACTGGATTGAATAACCTGTATGCGCTAGTTTTATGATATCTTACCAGAATCATAGGTTCATTCTTGTCATCAAACTTCCTTCTTCTTGCATCAGGAACATGCTTGTAACACATAGAGCCAAACACCTTCAAATGATTCACAGATGGTCGTTTGCCACTCCATACTTTTTCAGGAACTTTGTTCTTTAATATCTAGGTAGGGCACCTGTTAAGGATATAAACTGCAGTCGAAGGGCAGCTTTTTATGCTTTAGCATGCATCTCGCCATATCTAATATAGTTCTGTTTCTTCTTTCTGCAATTCCATTATGTTGAAGAGTGTAAGGAACAGTTACCCCGTGATCAACATCATGTTCTGCATAAAAATTTTCAAACATCTTCGAAGTGTATTCCCCACCTCCATTTGTTTGCAGAACTTTGATCTTTTTCTCACTCTTTTGTTTTGACGATGCCAATGAGATCATCCTGCATTCTCGAAGTGGTACATTTAGATGTATGTGGTCCATGCGAAAAACATATCATTGGTGAAAACATATATTTTGTTTCGTTTGTCGATGAGTTCAGTCGAAAGCTGTGGATCTATGTGATCCAGAGAAAGGACAAAATGCACTTTTAATAAGGAGAGAAAGAGAATAATAAAGGAAATAAGTATTCTATTATTCACTTAATGAATTGTACAAAATAAGGATACATATTATCACTATTTATATACAATCCTAATTAGATTTAGACTAACAGAACTTGAATTATATTTAAATATTAAATATAATCAAATCAAATCTAATCTATTTTAATAATTCAATAGGCCTCGCGCTTTCGGACTCTACTTATTTTTCCTCAGTCCCTGTTTGTGTCAGAGCTGATTTTGTAAGGAACAGACTCATATGCCTTTCTTTAAGTTCGATTCTCGATAGGTTTTGACTTTTATCCCCATGTCCCTTTTGTAGCAATCTTCTTTTGTTCAATATATATCATCATTTTAAAAAAAATGAAGCGGTTTTTTTTTTCTTTCATCTAGATAAGTCTTTTTTTAATATTCATTTAGCTAACCAATGTTACAATAATTGCAACCATATTAATTGGTGAATTTAATATGCAATGTAAACTAATTATTATACTGATAAAAAAAACTTATTATCAGTTCAAAGGTCAATTTAAAAAACACATATATATATATATATATATATATATATATATATATATATATATATATATATATATATATATATATATATATATATATATATATATATATATATATATATATATATATATATATATATATATATATATATATATATATATATATATATATATTTGGTCAATTTAAAACACACACATAATTGCAACCATATATATATATTTGGTCAATTTAAAAAATATATATATATATATATATATATATATATATATATATATATATATATATATATATATATATATATATATATATATATATATATATATATATATATATATATATATATATATATATGTGTGTGTGTGTGAGATATCTTTATATAAAATAAGATTGTGAGTTAGGAATATATTAGTGTTGAACTCTAAGTGATTCTCCCAAATGGCAAATTTGCCTAGGATATTATTTCCAACAATTATCATATCCATTACTCTTTTATCATTTTTCACTAGCAATACCAAAACAGTTTCAGGTCGATCTGCTTCCTTCATAAAGCCTCAAACAAAAGAGGTTTCACTTCAGAAACCAACATGCATGAAACATGGATGTGTCGAGGACTTGCCGAATAATCTAAGATTAAGTTCATCTCTTCCTCCTAGTTTTCATCGAAAAGCCAGGTTGAGTCCAACAAATTTAAATTCAATATATTTTTCATGCAATTTTAATTTAATAATACTAATTTTTATTGTATTTTCAGAGTAAGATTGGAAGATATAAATCCAAGACATTACAATTACTTTCAACGTTATAATGATGATGAAATTACAAGACTCGTTCCAGGAGGTCCTAATCCACTTCATAACCTTTAATAAAATCTTGTAAGCCAATTCTATTTGGGCTAGTTTCAGTGTATGATGTTAGTATTAAATAAATAACAGTGTGTTGCCTTTTTTGGGTAACAAAATTTTGTTTAAAGATGGAGTTTTAATAGTCCAATATTTGGTAGAATATGCAAAGTTTTTGGCTTGAGAATCGGTAGCTAAGACCAAAGTCAGTTTGATTGTAATTGGGAAGCTTAGCACTCTAATTTGAGCCTTTGTTGCATAATCCCTAGTTGTTGAATCTCAGGTTGCTTAAACTTTTATCTTTGATTATCCAAATAAATATGTTTTAAACATTTTTATTGAATTTTTTTATCATTTTAAAAATTATTTAAATTATTTAATACAGAAATTAAATCTAGAGTAAATAATATAAACTAGTGTTTATATCCATGCTAAAATTCCGAATGTTAAAAAAAATTATTATACGATTCATATCTTTAAACAAAAGTTATTTTTTATTTTTTTAAAAGTAAAAGAAAAAATAATTATTTTGTATTTGGTTTTTGATTTGATTTTCCATTAAAAAAATCTAACATAGGTTTCCAATTAACTCACCTTTTTAATTAATTCTCGCATAAAAAAATGATTTAATCTACCATCACGTTTTTAAAAATTTATTTTTAATTGATTTATGATAAATAATAATTAAATTTTTAATAACTTTTTATTATAAAAAAAATTAATATACTAATTGATTTTATTTTATTATTGTGAAAGAAAAAGGAATAGTGAGGAGATTGAAAAAATAAGACGTTCTAGAGAAAAAATGGATAGGTAGTCTAAAAGGTTTTGTTGAGTATTTTTTAGTTAATTAAGAACATGTTTATTATTTATTTAATTATTTTGTATGTGCTATACTGAAATAATAATTATAAATATGAACTTTCTAAATCATATCGTTAACAGTTATACAATAATTTTGCTTTTATATTACAATTTTTTATATTTTATATAATATTTATTTTATATTAAACTTTAATTTCTTAATTAATATCCATTATATTTTTAGTATTATTATCCTAATATTTTCATCTTTTGTGATTATACATTAATTAATTATTTTTGTTCATATATATGCATTTAAAATTTAAGCATGAAATTAGAAAAAATTTGATATACTGATATAAATATTGAAATTAACAATATAAAAATCTTAATTAAGTAGGATCTGATATACACAGAAAACATATGTATTCTCCATCATTAAAAATTGATTGAGCTTAAAAGCATCATTTTGAAAAACACATGTGTTTTTCCTTAGTCTATTATTTCACCTTATATTATTTATCTTTCCAACTTCTTCCCTCCATATGACGTGCATTTTCTTTTAATTGTAGTATTTGATTATATCTAATCATCGCCATGTTAAATTAGTTATTGATATTATGAATAAAAAATAATTTTGAAATTAAATTTTTATTTGTCTGTACTAATTTTTCTTCCACTGTAAAATGAAAGATATTAAACTGATACTTCACTATTTGTGCCGAAATATATATTTGATATGAGTTAATAGATAAACTCGATTGTGAAAATATAAAACTTGAAGAAATTGAACTTGGACACAATTATTTCCAATATATTATATTAGATTTACCCATCATTAAGGAGTATAATATCACAACAAAAAACATTTCAGATCCTAAGTCATTCTAGAATTTTTTTTTTTTGAAATAATTATGTATTAAAAAAAATTCGCAAATAATCATGTTTCGGAGAAAATTACGCAAATAATCATGTTTCATAAAATCCCACAAGGGAGGAGTCAACCCAGTTGGCGCATCCACTCTCATTCTTGCCCTAGGCGCCATCCCACTTGGCGCCTCGTCTCTCTTTTAGCCAAGTGAGATGACGCATGCACTTTAAAAGTGAGAGGATGCGCCATCTCACTTGGCTCCTAGGGCAAAATGTTGTTTTCATAAATAATTCATCTGTTTCTCCGTCATTCCTCACACTTTCTCGCACTGTTCTCTTATTTTTTACTCTGTTATTTGCGTCATGACATCGCCCATGATTTTTACCAGAGATAGTTACGTTATTTTCTCCGCCACAAAACCTCCGATGAAAATGAAATTCTGGCACATTCACTCCATGGAGCGTCTGAAGAGGGAGTTGATGCGATGGCTAGAGGGAGACATCGTGGAGGGGGAACAAATTAGAAGGATCCAGCAAAGACGAACAACAACCTCTCACTTGCGACAGGAAGACCTAATTTTTGGTTGGAGGAAGTCAAAACAGACAACGACGTAATGTTGATGATGCATGGGTGAGATGAAATTGTTTTAACAGTTGTAATTTCGTAGAAGGTTTATCGTGTTTTATTTCTTGTTCGCGCAATGTTTATTGTAACAAATACTGTTAACGAAAAACCCTAATGTTTACAACATAATAAAGGAAAGATTTTTTGTAATACAATTTTATGTGGTTGAGGCAGTAGCCCGATTCGGACAATTTTTACGATTGTGTCCGACCTGACGACATAAACCACACTTTATTTCCAGCTTGTCAAGGGGGTCCATTTCGGTTGTGATGCGCTTACTTTTGGGACGACCCTTTTTATTCCTTCGCATTTGGTCATTGTGCCATACTATTTTGTCGTCGTATGCAGGCCAATAATCTGGTTTTGCTACCAAAGGGAAGCTGTTGTTGTAAAAATTGAGCAACATTTCAGATTTGTAAATGGGAGACAGAAGTTGTAGCGCGTCTTGATGAGTATAGGCACACGCGGAAATTACATGAGAGCAAGGCATACGAAAGGCTTGAAACTTGCCACAATCGCACCAACGATAAGGTAGTACAACCCTATATTCTTGTCTTGGCAGGCCCTCGTTGTGGTCGCTTGTCTCTTTGACAATGAAGTTGTGGATGTGTCGGTCAAATCGTATAACCAGATGGGTGTTGGCTTTAGCATTTTCTGCCTTAATATACTTCATGTAGCTTTCGCTCCATAGTTGTCCAGATTGCAACACAACATTCCATATTTCACCTCTTTTGGCAAACAACGAAGCCATCCTAAAATATGTTGATTTAAACAAAGCAGTGACCAGGAGGTTTCGTATGCCTTTGAATACCCCATTCATCGATTCAATTAGATTTATTGTCATGTGGCCCCATCTTTGTCCATTATCGTATGACCTAGTCCATTTTTCTACCGGAATATTATCGATCCACCTACCGGCTTCCGGATTTGACAAACGGATCTCGTTGCAATAATATTTGAACGTAGGTTGTGTCAATGCATATCCCGCATTCATAACCGCTTTCCTAAGAGTTTTGTCTTTGATCTCCCTAGTGAAATTTTGGACGATATGTCTAACGCAATAGACATGCGTAGAAGGAGGGTCATGTCAACCGTTTGCAGGATTATTGTATGCACTTTCAATGGATGCATGTCTGTCAGAGATCAAATAGAGATCTGGTTGAGGAGCCACGTGTGTTCGGAGATTTTTGAGAAAAAAGCTCCAAGCACCACCAGTCTCCCCCTCGACTAGGGCAAAGGCAATTGGGAAAATGTTGTTGTTGCCATCTTGTGCAACTGCCATCAGTAGCGTGCCTTTGTATTTCCCATACAACCAAGTCCCATCAATTTGTATAATTGGTTTGCATGACGCAAACCCTATGATGCAAGGTTGAAAAGCCCAAAACACTCGACTGAATATTCCATTTCTGTTGAGTTGACTACCATCCGGGGCGTATGCTGGCACTGTTTCCAGAATGTAAACAGTACCCAGAGAATAAGTCTGAAGTGCATTCAGGTAGCGAGGAAGTTCTTGGTATGACTCCTCCCAGTTTCCATATACCTTTTCAATCGCCTTGGTCTTTTCTAACCACGCCTTTCGGTAAGACAGAGTATAGTTAAATACCGTAGTGATGTGGGAGATTATGGTTTTCACCTTCAATGATGGATTGTTGCTGACGAGTGGTAGGATTTCTTGACAAATGAGATCATAATTTAGTTTCCGATGATCCTGTGATTGAGTAGAACTGACACAAGTGTGGGTAGACATGGAACCTATGACCCAACAATCACCTCTTAATCTGTATGATGCAGTGAGCTTGAACATACAATCAGGGTGGACACACATGATCTTGTACATTTCTGGATTTACACGGTCCACCTTAAAATCGACCGAGTTGAGCATGTGAAATTTTTTGATGGCTCTGATACATTCTTCTCTGTTACGAAATTTGTCTTTCTCTTTTAAGTTTTCATCCAACTGCATATACGGATTGAAAAATAAATCAGAAGACGATTCATCTTCGCCCATGTTGAAGTTTGTCATGTGCGAAGGTGGTGTGTAGATCTCGTTTGAAGGAATACCAGGTATCCCATCGTCTTCAGAATTATCATTGACCATTTCGTCAAACTCCAACTCGTCATCTTCTTCTTCTTCATCAACGACATCTACTTCTGCTTGTTCGGTCTCCAAAGGATTAACCACTTGTGACAACTGAGGCTCTCGCAGCATAATGTACAACTCAATAGAGTCGTACCCAGAATACTCATGACTGGAAAACATATTTTGAAGGTCTTCGTCATCTTGAATCTCAACCTTATAAAATATTATTTGGTTGTTACAAAAAAAAACGGATTCTGATAAAATATTTGTGTCACGGGGCCTCATTCAAGTTTGGCCTCCAATCGTTTTTTGAATTACAAGAAATTGGCTTTCCTGTTTAAACAAAATCGGATGTTCTCAATGTCTCTAAACAAAAATCCAGAGGTGGGACAAATGTATGTCTCACTGTTGAAATATGCACTGATCACATATTGGGGTGTAGAGGCCATTGTGTATGACTGTTTGAAGGTTTGAAGGTTTGAAGTTTATGAGTTAATTGCTGGAATTTTTTAATGTTCTAGTGTTTGAGAGATTAAGTGTATGAGTGTTTTGATAAATATAAGATTAAATAGGTTGTACTGAGTTTGAATAAACCAACAGTAAGGCAAAGATGCTGTAACGCTCCGACTTATTAAATATCATATTTATATTATTATTTTCAAATTATCGATTAATAATTATTTCGTGATAATATTATATTTTTAATCGGTATATTTATTAATATATTCAGCGATATTTTATTCGGTCCGATAACTATTTATTTGGACCGATAATTATTTTATTCGATCCGGTAACTATTTTATTCGGACTAGTAATTATTTATTCAGACCGGTAATTATTTATTCGGACCGGTATTTATTTATTCGGGCTTATTTGATTAAGTTGAGTTTTATTATATTAAGTAAACAAAACCAAGACATGTGTTTGAAACATAGTAGTATCAGAATAATAAAAGTAAAAAACAAGTACATAAGTGGGTGATAGTGTGTGGTTAGTGTGTTAGTGTGTTAGTGTGTAGTTTTGTATAATAATAGGAAAGAAGGATAAGTAGTGTTATCAGAAAATCAAAATAGAAAATAGAGAGAAAAGAGAGTGCTTGGTGGGTAAAGAAGAAAGAAGAACAATAGCTAGGAATCAAGAATTAGAGGTAAGAGGTTTGATAATTTCTATCCTATAAATAGATTAATGATAGGTTTTATATGAGTTAGGGTTGTAAAAATTTGGGGGTTGTTCTTGAAATTTATTGATTTGTTTTGATGGTTAGATTATGTTGCTGAAAATATATGGTTATTGTTTTGTTATATTGTTACTATGTTGCTAGAAAAAAAATTATGTTATATACTTTATGATTTTGTTCTACTAAAAAAAACATGAACTTGTTAAGAAACAAACTGGGAACTAGTATGAAGTTGAAACAGAAGGAAGGAAATAAACTGGTTTGGCTTGTGCTGTGGATATTTTTCCTTGGATAGCATGTATTAATTTCATGTTTTGGCAAGTAGGCAATATAACAGAAACACTATAATAGGCATATCAGTAACATATTATACCAGTTAGAAAATTATGCAGTAGCAGAATCATTGGGTTACTACTCTAACAAAAAGATATATATTTTATGAATTGAAATATTATTTTATAAATTTAAATATAATCGGTTTAATCGATAATTTGGGTAACCAGTAAATAATGAAAACGAGTCCGATTTAGACGGTTCGAGTGGCGTTTCAGAGACCCAGTTATGGCATTTAATAATATTATTAATGTCGATTAATTTGGGATGATTTTTATGACGAGTATATTTTGGTGAATATTAATTCATATCCGGAATTAATTAAATTATGAATATTGTTGATATGCTTCTATTAATTGAATGCATGATTTTGGCGATTGATGAAAGTTGTTAATGATTTGCATAATGCAAAATATGTTGTTGTTGATCGTTTTACCTTGGAGTTTGGTAAACGAAACGTTGAGGGCTTACGCCAAATGATGAGTTGATGTTGTTGTTGGTTTTTGTTGTGTATGTGTGTCGTGTCCATTCGAGTCGCATACATGATTTCATGGTGGGGGCTGATTGCCTTGGTCTTTATGACACTGTTGGGGGCTGATTGCCTCGTGCCTCTAATTATATGGCAAATGTTGGGGGCTGATTGCCTCGTTGGTACCACATGCATAAACATTGTTGAGTCGCATTTCGTTGTTTATGTCATCGTTGAGGTTTATGTTGTTTAAGTTGTTGAGTTGTTTGATGACGCATGAATTGTTGTTGATTTTATGATGATTGTGCGGTGTTGACAAAGTGTTGATTTATATGAATTTAATCGGTGATAAAAGTGTGTGAGATTGGAGTTTATGCTGAATATTATTTATGTTGGTACCTCTTTATAATTCCGAGACTATATATTATTTATCATCTCTTTATTTATGTGATTTGAATTATCTCACCCTTTACTTGTTTCGCCGTTACCTTTATATTGGTAACGTGCAGGTGATCCGCGTTGATGAGGTGGATTAGCTCTAGTCTTTACTTTTTAGTCACCTTGCTCTGATCGCGTAACACTCGGGATGGGCACTTTTGATTATTTTGATTAGGATAACATACTTGTATATCCTAATATTTATGTGGTTTATGTTTATATCATGACATGACTATTTTGTTGATGTATATGCTTTTATATGGCATAGATGATGACGTATCCGCTGCCGTGTGCATATGTATATTCTTATTTGATGTATGATAACATGGTCGGTATATCCGACTTTTGATTATTTGATGATGCATTATATTACAAAGTGGAAACCATGAATATGTGATGCCTTAATTTGTTTATGAAGTCTTATTACTCTGATTTTTATTATTAAATTCGCGGGTAGAATTGGGGTGTTACATTAGTGGTATCAGAGCAGGTCGGTCTGTCTGGCCAAGTTGTTGAGTCTTTAGTTGTTTAACAATCAAGTATTGTTATTTGTTGATTCTAATATTTGTTTTTATTGTGAGTAGAAGTTGTAATGGCTGGAAGGAATGTTGGTAGGAATGATGATTCTCTTACTGCCGCTATGCAGGCAATGGCTTAGGCATTTCAAAATCCGCCAAATGCTGACGAGAACGCGGGGTCTCGTAGTTTGGCTACCTTCCAGAGGGAGAACCCTCCTACCTTCCAAGGGAAGTATGATCCCGAGGGAGCTCTTGCATGGATGAAGGAAGTTGAAAGAATCTTCAGAGTGATGGATTGCACTCATGTGCAAAAGATCCGCTATGGCACACATAAGTTAACTGCTGAAGCTGACGATTGGTGGGTTAAAACCCGCCAAAGGTTGGAACTTGCTGATGAAGAAGTGACGTGGGAAGTGTTCCGAAGGGAATTCTTGAGAAAGTATTTTCCTGAATACGTGAGGGGAAAGAAAGAAATAGAATTCCTTGAGCTGAAGCAAGGAAATATGTTTATAACTGATTATAGGGCCAAGTTCATTGAGTTGGCTAAATTCTATCCACACTATGATGGGCCAACTGGTGAGTTCTCAAAATGCATGAAGTTTGAAAATGGCTTACGTCCTGAAATCAAGAAGGTTGTTGGTTATCATAAAATACGTGTCTTTGCGGATTTGATTGATAGTTGTAGAATCTTTGAAGAGGATAGCAATGCCCACTACAAAATTATTTCTGATAAGAGGAACAAAGGTCAACAAAGTCGTGGGAAACCCTATGATGTCCCAGTTGGAAAAGGGAAGCAAAAAGTGGTTCAAGGGAGAAGATATAGTGGGGGAGATGCTCCTTCTAGTATCGTTTGCTTCAAGTGTGGAAAACCTGGCCACAAAAGTAATGTTTGTGGAGGTGATGTGAATAATAGGGAGGATGAGAGGAGGTGTTTCTGATGTGGAAAAACGGGACACATGATTAATGATTGTAGGTATAAGGAGATTATTTGCTTCAACTGTGGTGAAGGCGGACACATTAGCACTCAATGTAAGAACCCGAAGAAGGTGCAAGGTGTGGGGAAAGTGTTTGCTTTGTCGGGTAGTCATACGACAAATGAAGATGGTCTCATTCGAGGTAATAGTTTCATTAATAGCATTCCTCTCATTACTATTATTGATAATAGTGCTACACATTTCTTTATTTCCGCTGATTGTGTTAAGAGAATGGGTCTTACCTTATCTTCCTTGGATAGAGACATGATTGTAGAAGTTCCAGCTAAGGGAACGGTTACTACTTCTTTTGTATATGCAAGTTTCCCTTTATCAATCTTTGATAGAGACTTGTTGTGAATCTTATTTGTTTATCGCTTGTCGGGTTGGACGTGGTCTTAGGTATGGACAGGTTGAAAGCCAATTATGTTCATATCAACTGCTACGACAACACAGTGAGATTTTCTTCTTTCGAAGAAGAAGAACGAGCCATTTTGGTATCTACGAAACAGTTGAATGAATTCATGAAAGAAGAAGCGTTAGTTTTCTTTTTGATGGCGACTCTTTCTGTTGAGAGTCAGGCTGTGATTGTGAACTTTCCGGTGGTGTGCGACTTTCCCGAAGTATTCCCTGATGAGATTCCTAGTGCACCGCCAGAAATAGAAGTTGAATTTTCCGTGGATCTTGTACCTAGTACCAGACATATCTCTATGGCACCATACAGGATGTCCGCATCCTAGTTTTCAGAATTGAAGAGCCAATTAGAAGACTTGCTTGAGAAAAAGTTTGTTAGACCAAGTGTGTCACCTTGGGGAGCTCCGGTTTTGTTGGTTAAGAAGAAGGATGGTAGCATGAGACTTTGCATCGATTACCGTCAGTTAAACAAAGTGATAATCAAGAATAGATATCCACTTCCAAGAATCGATGACTTGATGGACCGATTAGTTGGTGCCCGTATGTTTAGCAAGATTGACTTGAGATTGGGTTACCATCAAATAAGGGTGAAAGACGAAGACATTTAGAAGACCATATTCCGAACTAGATACAGACATTACGAGTATTTGGTGATGCCTTTCGGTCTCACTAATGCACCGGGAGTATTCATGGAATACATGAATCGTATTTTCCATCCTTATTTGGATTGCTTCATGGTAGTTTTCATTGATGATATTCTGATTTATTCTAAATCGGAAGAAGAACACGCGGAGCATTTGTGTATTGTGTTGGAAGTGTTAAAAGAGAAGAAGTTGTATGCCAAGTTATCAAAGTGCTAGTTTTGGTTAAGTGAAGTTAGCTTTTTGGGCCATGTCATTTATGGTGATGGCATTACGGTGGATCCTTCAAAAGTTGATGCTGTGTTGAGATGGGAAACGCCTAAGTTGATTACTGAGATTAGAAGTTTCTTAGGCTTGGTGGGTTACTATAGAAGGTTTATCGAAGGATTTTCTAAGTTGGAACTTCCCTTGACAAAGTTGACTTGTAAAGGAGCTGCGTTTGTGTGGGATGTCAAGTGTGAGGAAAGTTTTATGGAATTGAAGAAAAGGTTGACAACGGATCCGATCTTGATTTTACCTTATCTTGAGGAACCGTTTGTGGTTTATTGCGATGCTTCCAAGATGGGTCTAGGTGGTGTGCTTATGCAAAGTGGAAAAGTGGTTGCTTATGCTTCTAGGCAATTGGAGATTCATGAGAAGAATTATCCTACACATGAATTTGAACTTGCGGCAGTTGTTTTTATGCTTAAGATTTGGAGACACTACCTTTATGGTTCTAGATTCGAAGTGTTTAGTGACCATAAAAGCTTGAAGTACTTGTTGATCAAAAAGAGCTTAACATGAGACAAAGACAGTGGCTCAAATTGTTAAAGGATTATGATTTTGGCTTGAATTACCATCCTGGTAAAGAAAATGTGATGGCCGATGCCTTAAGTCAAAAGACTTTGAATATGTCACTTTTGATGGTGAAAGAGTTGAAAATGATTGAACAATTTAGAGATATGAGTCTTGTGATCGAGGTGACGCCGAAGAGTGTTATCTTGGGAATGTTAAAGATCAATAATGATTTCCTTGATAGCATTAGAGAAGCTCAGAAGCTTGATGTGAAGCTTGTTGACTTGTTGGTTGGTAATGGACAAACTGAGAATGGTGATTTCAAATTGGATGCTCAAGGTGTGTTGAGGTTCCGAGATAGGATTTGTATTCCTGAGGATGTGGACTTGAAAAGAATGATTCTAGAAGAAAGTCACTGAAGCAGTTTGAGTATTCATCCCAGAGCGACCAAGATGTACCAAGACTTGAAGAAATTATTTTGGTGGTCGGGTATAAAACGAGAGGTAGCTCAGTCTGTGTATGCTTGTTTGACATGTCAGAAGTCAAAGGTGGAGCATCAGAAACCTGCAGGGTTGATGCAACCATTGGAAATTCCAGAATGGAAATGGGATAGCATTTCCATGGATTTTGTGACGGGGTTGCCGAATACACCTAGAGGACATGATGCGATTTGGGTGATTGTTGATAGGCTTACAAAGTCGACTCACTTTATTCCTATTAACATCAGTTATCCCGTATCAAAGCTGGCGGAGATTTATACGCATGTGATCGTGAGATTACATGGTATTCCCCTTTGTATTGTTTCGAATTGAGATCTGAGGTTCACTTTATATTTTTGGAAAAGCTTGCAAGAGGCCTTAGGTTCTAAGTTGAGGTTGAGTTCGGCTTATCATCCTCAAACCGATGGTCAAACGGAAAGGACGATTCAATATTTGGAAGATTTGTTACGAGCTTGCATTCTTGAACATGGTGGTTCATGGGATACTTATCTTCCATTGATCGAGTTTACTTATAACAACAGTTTTCATGCAAGTATTGGAATTGCACCGTTTGAAGCATTGTATGGGCGGAGGTGTAGAACTCCTTTGTGTTGACATGAGACGGGTGAAAGTGTGGTACTTGGACCGGAGTTGGTTAGAGAGACTACCGAAGCAGTCAAGATGATTAGAGAAAAGATGAGAATTTCTCAAAGTCGACAAAAGAGTTACCATGACAAACGAATGAAATATTTGGAATTTCAATCGGGTGATCATGTGTTTTTGCGAGTTACTCCTACAACCGGTGTTGGGCGAGACTTGAAATCGAAGAAGTTGACTCCTCGCTTTATTGGTCCTTATCAAATTGCTAGTAAAGTTGGAAAAGTGGATTATAAAGTGGCGTTGCCGCTAAATCTTTTGAATTTTCACGATGTGTTCCATGTGTCGCAACTTCAGAAGTATGTTCCGGATCCGTCCCATATGATTGAAATGGATGATATTCAAGTTCGTGATAATCTTACGGTGGAGACGAGGCCTTTGAGGATCAAAGATCGTGAGATAAAGTCTCTTCGTGGCAAATAAATCTCTTTGATCAAAGTTGTTTGGATAGGAGCGGCTTGTGAGAGAACGACGTGGGAGTTGGAGAGCAAGATGTGGGATTCCTAGTCCGAGCTTTTCGAATCAGGTAAATTTTCGAGGACGGAATTCTTTTAAGTGGGGGAGAGTTGTAACGCCCTGATTTATTAAATATCATATTTATATTATTATTTTCAAATTATCGGTTAATAATTATTTCGTGATAATATTATATTTTTTAATCGGTATATTTATTAATATATTCGGCGATATTTTATTCGGTCCGGTAATTATTTATTCAGACTGGTAATTATTTTATTCGGTCCGATAACTATTTTATTCGGACCGGTAATTATTTATTCGTACCGATAATTATTTATTCGGACCGATATTTATTTATTCAGGCTTATTTGATTAAGTTGGGTTTTATTATATTAAGTAAACAAAACCAAGGCATGTGTTTGAAACATAGTAGTATCAGAATAATAAAAGTAAAAACAAGTACATAAGTGGGTGGTAGTGTGTGGTTAGTGTGTTAGTGTGTAGTTTTGTATAATAAGAGGAAAGAAGGATAAGTAGTGTCATCAGAAAATCAAAATAGAAAATAGAGAGAAAAGAGAGTGCTTGGTGGGTAAAGAAGAAATAAGAACAATAACTAGGAATCAAGAACTAGAGGTAAGGGGTTTGATAATTTATATCCTATAAATAGATTAATGATAAATTTTATGAGTTAGGGTTGTAAAAATTTGGGGGTTGTTCTTGAAATTTATTGATTTGTTTTGATGGTTAGATTATGTTGCTGAAAATATATGGTTATTGTTTTTTTATATTGTTACTATGTTGTTGGAAAAAAAATTATGTTAAGAAACCTAAACTAGATGGTTAGATTATGATGCATTATGATTTTGTTCTGCTAAAAAAAACATAAACCTGTTAAGAAACAAACTGGGAACTAGTATGAAGTTGAAACAGAAGAAAGGAAATAAACTGGTTTGGCTTGTGCGGTGGATATTTTTCCTTGGATAGCATGTATTAATTTCATGTTTTGGCAAGTAGGCAATATAACAGAAACACTATAATAGGCATATCAGTAACATATTATACCAGTTAGGAAATTATGCAGTAGCAGAATAATTGGGTTACTACTCTAACAGAAAGATATATATTTTATGAATTGAAATGTTATTTTATAAAGTTAAATATAATCGGTTTAATCGGTAATTTGGGTAACCGGTAAATGATGAAAACGAGTCCGATTTAGACGGTTCGAGTGGCATTTCAGAGACCCGGTTATGGCGTTTAATAATATTATTAATGCCAATTTTTTTGGAATGATTTTTATGACGAGTATATTTTGGTGAATATTAATTCATATCCGGAATTAATTAAATTATGAATATTGTTGATATGCTTCTATTAATTGAATGCATGATTTTGGCGATTGATGAATTGTTGTTAATGATTTGCATAATGAAAAATATGTTGTTGTTGATCGTTTTACCTTGGAGTTTGGTAAATGAAACGTTGAGGGCTTACGCCAAATGATGAGTTGATGTTGTTGTTGATTGTTGTTGTGTATGTGTGTCGTGTCCATTCGAGTCGCATACATGATTTCATGGTGGGGGCTGATTGCCTTGGTCTTTATGACACTGTTGGGGGCTGATTGCCTCGTGCCTCTAATTATATGGAAAATGTCGGGGGTTGATTGCCTCGTTGGTACCACATGCATAAACATTGTTGAGTCGCATTTCGTTGTTTATGTCGTCGTTGAGGTTTATGTTGTTTAAGTTGTTGAGTTGTTTGGTGACGCATGAATTGTTGTTGATTTTATGATGATTGTGCGGTGTTGACAAAGTGTTGATTTATATGAATTTAATTGGTGATAAAAGTGTGTGAGATTGGAGTTTATGCTGAATATTATTTATGTTGGTATCTCTTTATAATTCTGAAACTATATATTATTTATCATCTCTTTATTTATGTGATTTGAATTATCTCATCCTTTACTTGTTTCGTTATTACCTTTATATTGGTAACGTGCAGGTGATCCGCGTTGATGAGGTGGATTAGCTCGAGTCTTTACTTTTGAGTCACCTTGCTCTGATCGCGTAACACTCGGGATGGGCGCTTTTGATTATTTTGATTAGGATAGAATACTTGTATATCCTGATATTTATGTGGTTTATGTTTATATTATGACATGACTATTTTGTTGATGTATATGTTTTTATATGGCATAGATGTTGACGTATCCGCTGCCGTGTGCATATGTATATGCTTACTTGATGTATGATAACATGATCGGTATATCCGACTTTTGATTATTTGATGATGCATTATATTACAAAGTGGAAACCATGAATATGTGATGCCTCAATTTGTTTATGAAGTCTTATTACTCTATTTTTAATTATTAAATTCGCGGGTAGAATTGGGGTGTTACAGATGCCTTCTGCAAGGCTGTAACCTAGCTTGCGCCTACACTGAACCGACACTGAAACCTCTAAGGCGCCTCCCATCATGTCCAATAGTATTACATGTATTCATAGATGCCTTCTCCAAGGTTGTCACCTAGCCTGCGCCTACGCTGCAACCCATGCCACCTCTTATTCGCCAACAGGGATGGCGACACCTTTCATTTTTGTACTCTTTCGCCAAGTCCAATGGCGCCTCCCTTCACGTCCAATCGTGTTACATGCATGCAGAGATGTATTCTCCAAGGCTGTCACCTAGCCTGCGCCTACACTGAACCTACACTGCAACCTCTAAGGCGCCTCCCATCACGTCCAATAGTGTTACATGCATTCAGAGATGCCTTCTCCAAGGTTGTCACCTAGCCCGCGCCTACACTGAAACTCACGCCACCTCTTATTCGCCAACAGGGATGGTAACACCTTTCATTTTTGTACTCTTTCGCCAAGTCTAATGGCGCCTCCCTTCACGTCCAATCATGTTACATGCATGCAGAGATGCCTTCTCCAAGGCTGTCACCTAGACTGCGCCTACATTGCACCTACACTGCAACCTCTAAGGCGCCTCCCATCACGTCCAATAGTGTTACATGCATTCAGAGATGCCTTCTCCATGGCTGTCACCTAGCATGTTCCTACACTGCAACTCATGCCACCTCTTATTCGCCAACAGAGATGGCGACACCTTTCATTTTTGTACTCTTTCTCCAAGTCCAATGGCGCCTCCCTTCACGTCGAATTGTGTTACATGCATGCAGAGATGCCTTCTCCAAAGCTGTCACCTAGCCTGCGCCTACACTGCAAGAGTGACACTTATCATGCATGCATGCACCCACCTACAACCTCACTTACTCTATGATAAAATTTTGCCTATAAATATAGAGCCTTACATACTTCTCTCGCATCCACAATCGTCTCACTCTCTGCTACAAACTCTTTCATAATCTCTTACAATTTCAAACTCTTTCATAATCTCAGGCATTTTCAACAATGGCTCTTCTCACAATGGGCGATTCTCACAGAGGAACAAGGGACAACATTGCAGCATTTGTAAGTTTCTTTTATACTTATACATTTTTCATACTTCTAGTAATGCTTTATTCATCTTACCTACTCTTACACCTTTTACATTATTAACTTAGGATACTAAAAGATTCAGAATCCGGTCACACAACTACCTTGCTCCCGACCCGTTGATCGTACCCTATCTCAATTACGCAAGTTTCAAAAATGTTATAAAGATCTCCAACTGCACAATTGATTCAAAGTTCATACTTGCAATGTTGGAAAGGTGGAGACCAGAGACCCATACATTTCATCTACCAATAGGTGAATGTACCGTCACACTAGAGGACGTGTACATGTCATTGGGTCTCCTTGTCCACGGTAAGGCGGTTAACGGGTCGGTTCAACAACCCAATTCTCTATGTGAAGAATTATTGGGCAGGGATATGGTTGAAGGTGGTGGTGCGAGAGGTCAGGGTATACTACTTACTGAGCTAAAAAATCATTATGCGACTCTGGAATTGAACGAAAATTCCTCCGAGCTAGCTAAGGTAATAAAAGCTAGAAATTATATAATGATACTATTTGGAACCTTTTTATTTCCCGAAAGTACGAGAAATAGTGTAAATTTTATGTATTTAAATTTACTTAGAGACTTTAAAAAAACTAGAAACTATAGTTGGGGTTCTGCTGTTTTAGCCCATCTATACAGTTCCTTTAGGTATTGCGTGAGGGGTATGGATTACGGCAAGAATCCAAGATTCAATGTCGCACTATACTACAATCTATTGGATCACCTTGGCCCGGATGATGTACGTCGTACCTTTCAACTTTTCTACTTTTAAATTATTTATTTATTAGGTTTTCATTAACCTGATTTAATTTTATCCGCAGTTTGTCTGGAGACCATATTTGGGTTTGGACCATGAACCAAACCCCGAGGATGCAGCAATTTGGAGCGCAAAGACTGCAATCATACGGTTCAATGTTATGGAGATGCACCACAGCGACCGTGTCAAGATGCAGTTTGGAATGCATCAAGAGATACTCAATGATCTGACTTGTTTGTCCCCGTGGCATCTCAAAAGGGTCAACGCCCAATGGGGTCTTACCAACTGGAAAGACTTTGCTCCAGAATGGTGTAAGATGTGGCAGAGGCGTCACCGACATGTCTTGTAATTCCCAGTTTTCCTCAACCATGGTAATATGCGACACACATATCAGTATTTATCTTGGTACAGATCGGTTAGTACCCCTGAAATGCACATGTCTCATCTAAGGTATTTGGTTGACCCACGAACACAATGGGCACAACCCTCATTTTCCCAACAACAAGCCCAACACACATCAACCTCCCACCAACCCCCCCGACAAAACAGAACCACAAACACCCAACCACAGTCACCACCACAATACAATTACACCCACATGCCCCACAACCAACCATAATCACCACTTCAGTACCAATACCCCCATATGCCTCACACCCAACCACAATTTCAATCACAATACCAACACACCTGCATACCCCACACACAATTTCAGTCTTTTGCATATCCCAATATGGGCCTCTCAACATCCAACCTTAGCTCTGATCTGGGATTGTCCGAAGATTATGAACCAACCGACCCAACTTACCATCAACCACAACATCACCAAAGCACCCAACATCCTCAATACCAAACACCCCAAGATCCATTTCCTTTCTACCCCCGTACTCAGACGACCAGTGCTACAGACCAACCATGGAACCCCACCCACCACCAGCACGACCAAACTTTGAGGGTATAGGTAACCGACTGTACCAAAGTGGATTTTCTAGATATGGAGATCAGACTGATTTCATGGATCCGGAACGCATTGACTTCGCTGGGCCATCGACCCTGCCACAACAGGAAACGCGGCGAAACCCAGCACGGAAAAGGCGAGGACGGGGATGCGGAACCGGGGGGTCATTACCGGATTCCGGGGGACCACTGATTAATCTATTTTTTTATGTAATCGTTATGTGTGTAATCATATTTTGTAAATAAAAAGTCAACTTTACTGATCCTATATCGAATACGTAACGCACCGCATTTAAAATAAAAAACGCGAAAATTTGCCTCCCAATTGCACTAAGGCGCCATCTCACTTGGCTTAGGGCAAGCCTTTAACACCTAGGCGCCAAGTGAGATGGCGCCTCCCCTTAAAAATAAGGTGTAGGCGCCAAGTGGGATGGCTCCTCCCTTGGGGAGTTTTCTGAAATATGGTTATTTGCGTAATTTTCTCCGAAACATGGTTATTTGCGGAAAAAAATTTAATACATGATTATTCCTAAAAAAAAATCGTCATTGCTATTTTGGATACAAATGGTGCAATTTATTTCTATGATCTTAACAAAGGAAAGTCTAATAACCCTGAGATATTGAAATTGCCTAAAGACCCTTGTGGAATTCCTGAGCCTTGTGATCCTTACTATGTTTAATTCTTTGAGAATTCGGTCACGTTTCAATTGCAAACTCCTAACATCTCAGCATGTTCTCTCATGGAAGTTCAACAGAACTTTTACATGTTGGTGAAGATCTAGATTATTTTGCTCTTAAATATGATGTACCTGTTATAAAATCAACCTTGAATTCATGCAAAGAGGCTTGTGTAAGAAATTGTTCCTTGTGCTTTTCTATGAAAATAGTACACGGGTAATTGCTTTCATTTCGAGCAAACCGGGAGCTTCTAACGGTTTAAAGGTGGCATGTTAGAGATTTAATATAATAACCAGGCGTGTTTTCATCTAACTGGCTAAGCTTTTTGCGATATTATTATAAGATTATATTTCTGAGTCATAACCATTTATATTTCTGGTTAACCAAAGTGTTTTCATCCTTTGCAGTTTCTATATCAGAATTTTCATCATCCAGTGTGCGATGTGTTTGAATGCTGAGACGCATCCAACAGGGACATCTGTTACACTTGGTCTGCTCAGTATTTTTTTCCTACCGGATGGGACGGACGATTTCAGCTTTATGTATATCACTCAGTTCCATCTCAAATATATACTTTTTCTCCCCTTTAATATATACTTTTTTCTTACTTTGCAGTGTTATTTTGTATTATTCTTTTATAATTTGGGAGCTGGACTAGTCCAATGATTAGAATTGGTTCAATTCACTTTTATTTTTGGTACGATTCAACAATAGTGGTCCAACACTTTGGTCTACCACATCTCTGAACACAGGACCAGTTATGCCTGACACGCACATCTGACCCAGTTAGCAAG